GGATGTTGTGGTAAGTAAATATTAGAGTAGAAACTGTGCCTATGTAACAATCCACGAGCCAAAGTAATGTCATTGTAAATCGATTACTGCTGCATCATTAGTATTTCTATAAATTTAGTAGAAGTGCTTCATATGTGGAGTATTTGACATCTTGATCTTCAGTCAAATGTTTTTGGAATGTCCAAAAACTGTGTGGATGTCAGCTAAGCTATTTGTTATAGTTACAGATAAGGCAATATTTGTAATATTGATACTAATATTAGTATCAATCTGCATTTTTTTTGTTTTTGAGCACTGAAGATCCCTCCGAAAAGCTGAACATTCTTATGAAATAAACATGGCGCCCAAAATAACTTTAGAATACCAGAGTGAATATATTCTAAAGCTGGATTATCTTGGTTACCCCTTTCATTAAAAATGTAGTAGACATATTATAAAACATGCTGTGCCACAAAGCAGCTGAACAGTAGGAAGATGAAAACTGAAGCACCTATTTGGAATCAAACTGGCTTTAAAATGGTACAGCCGGATTTTTTATTTATTTTTTTTTTTTTACCTCCTCATGATTCCTTCACAGGGATCACTTGCATAACATCATGGTTGCAGCAGGAATGCCACTTCAGTCAAATTACTTCAGTTATGAATGAAACAAGACTTGACTTCAAAGGAGGACATGTGGCCTAGAGAATCTAGAACCTGGTGTTTGTGTTTGTGTGTCATTATAAATGAGAGAAATAGATACTTATGTGTGTGAGCATATTGAGCTCCACTAACTGAATCCATCATATTTTATTTAAAATTAAATCAATAATCCGAAACTTACTTTGACTAATTAAGAGTTACTTGTGTAATCACATCACATCTGGAAAAACCCCTGTGATTGTATTTATTCATGTTGATTTGAGAGTAAGTGAAGCCCCAGAAAAAAACATATATATTATTATTTGAAGACTTTATGGCCAATATTCTGCAATGTTACTATAGGTTTGTTGGTTGCTGTCCAACTGGCATCACTAGAACCTGCTGGTAATCCGACTGAAAATGTCAGATACAGATGGGTTTGGTGCAAACATTCAGCAATTACAAGACAGATGCATATTCAGTGATTTTAACAACAACAACACAAATGCTTTGCAACAGTTTTTCAGTAAAAACAAAAAAAGTTTTTAGATCGCTAACAGAATTTTCTTAAGTTACAAATGGCTAATTTGAACATCCAAAAGTCATACTCACATTTAGACCCAAACAAGTGGACACACACAGAGAGACACATGCAGTCAGGATATAAAATGTGGATACTAGCCACTCACACAGACAGCACCTGTCAGCTGGTGTTGTGGGACAGCCAAGGGCTTGTTTGTTTATTTCTTCCCCTCTCTCTCTTTCTCTCACTTTCTGCCTTTAGCACAGTGTGTTTGTGTGTCTCGACTCGAGGTCTCCATTTTTTCCCACTCAGTCCCCCCTCACCTCTCCACCTGCTGTTCTTTCCTTCAGCACATTCCAACTCTCCGCCTGTCTCTCTTCGTACCCGACCATCATACCTCCATCCATTAGATCTTTTCGCTCCTTCTCTGCACCTGTGACTGAAAAACAGTCTCTCTCAGTCTCCCTCAGCCTCCCTGCTCATTACGTCCCCGAGGCAGCCACTCCATCATCGAGAAAGGCCAGAGATAAACTACAAGAGTACACCTGTGCCCTGCATGAATGCCGTACCCAGACTCAGTGACTCTGCCAATTCAAAGCCAAATAATGGAATCAGCAAAGCTCAGGCTTCAGACGAATCAACGTGACACCTATATCTCTTAATACCTGTTCCGGATCACAATATGGGCCTCATTAGCAAATGAGGAAAGCAATGATCGGTAAGAAAATAGAAAAACATTGATGCTGCAACAACATGATTGTGAGGGATCAAATATACAAAGCTCATTTAGAGAGAGAATAGAGGGAGTTGGATAAAAAAAAAGTTTGTCTTCTATCAGCAAAGAGCTGCAAAATGTGAAATGAAGCAGGAGAAAAAAAAGAACAAAATAAACACTACAAAATTCAATAAATACTCAGGTTTACATCACTAATAACACAAAGCAAGTCAGTAGATGAGTTGGAAGAGTAAATCTTTTCCCACAACAAAACACTTAAGAAAAGAGTTTATTCCTGAGCACCACAGTCTTCAAAACCCACATTAGTATTTTATGACCACTATCCAACACTTTAAAATTTTATATTTTGTTAAATTTTAAATTTTAAAAGTAAGTTTGTCTGTCCTTATTAAAATAAAGATAACCAATGAGTTTTTGATCTACAGTTCAAGACTTCCATATGAAAAATGCAGATACTTTAACCTGCATGTACACCTTTAATAGCTACATAAAACTAATTGCATCATTTAAATGCACTAATTAACAAAATGAAATGAATCAAGTGCTTCAGGAGTGGATGAAAGTAGCCCTGACAGAATTAGAGAAAAATCATAAGTCCCACTGGTCACAGTCATTGACAACAGTACAGCAAAAGAAAGCAACCTCCAGAGAAATCAATAATCAGTGACAAGGTGAGAATGAGTAGATAAGGAACCTCTCCATCATCCACGGATCAATGTTTTGAGTTTGTTACAGATGCACAAGCAGTGCAAACTATACAGTCATAGTTATGAAGCAGCCAAAACTACATTCAAACTAGGAAACCTAATGATACGCAAGCATGTTTCTGATTTTGATTTAAAAACTTCCGTAAACATATAAAACAAAAACATTACTGAAAACAAAAAAGCACACAAAATGAGTGTGAATTACACTCATTTTTCACTTTATTTCTTCTCATATGGGAAACAGTGGTAGCTTTTCATATGGGTCCTATTGGCAGATGTGCTAAAAAAAAATTTGAATTTGTCTATAAGAAGACATAATGCAAAATCTACCACTGGGTGGGAATATGAAGCATTCTTATTTCTTATTAACCAATCCGTACTCAAGGTGAAAACTGTAAAAAGAAAACACATTAAAGTAACCACAAATGTCAGGACAATTTGGAAAGCATTCAAAATATTTATGACATCTTCTCTAACAATAAGATGTTTTTTTTACATTCCTCTTGGTGCAACTTTAATTCCTCTGTATTAAGAAACATGACCAATACAGAATGAATGGCTTCATTCACTTCCTCCACTGCAATCGCCAAACTACAATCATAGTCAGACTACAATTCTAAAATAGTCTAGAAAATCAATGTGAATAGTCCAAAACCTCTCAGTTTGTTCACATACTGGCCAGGTTGAAATTCAACCAGAGAACCAATTCTCAATGGGAGAAATCCTAAACAAAGCACTGACGAGAGATGAGAATTGAGCTGAATTGTGTAGAAAGACAATTGCCAGGCTACCCAAGACCTCAGTGATGGGAAGAATTAAAGACACAGTCAAAATTTGGAAAAGGATGTCCAAATCATTTAATTCAAGTCTTATGCTTGAAAAAAAAACTGTTCAACCAAATATTATGAAAATGCATGTACATTTCTGAATTTAAAGCTAAAAAAAATTTTTATTGATCATAACTGTCCTAAAATAGTAGTTTAATTTAACTTATTCAATGTTATACAAACAAGAAAAAAGTATGTTATTAGAGTGTATGTAAATATTTAACTTGAACTCTATACAAATTCATGCTTGAATAAGCTGAATATACTATGTGCACCTCTGAAATCCATGCATATTCTTATGATTTATTGAAAACATTCAAAATTCATAGAAACCATTCTAATGCAATAAATCTACAGAAAACTTTATACTCCATGCTAATACACTTGAGATACTTGCAGCTTGATTATAATTTGCATTGAGCATTTTAAGTAATTCACCTGTAAGTCGCAAGCAAGGAAAAGAAAGCACCAAAGAGAAATGTTAAAGCTCTGGTGTTTGCTTGTGCTGCTATTTATGTTTCTGCAGAGGGGCATTAGGTCGGACTTCATGAATCTCATCTAATAGCTCCACTGTGAGTCTATCAGGTTGAAATAGAACCTGATAAAACCATTTAATGTTGTAGTCTGACCTAGAAAAATAAAGAAGCTCTATTTGTGATCTTTGTCCTACCTGGAATAACTGAGAGATAAGTTTTATTTTTTATTTTTTAAACATAATATAATCTTTTTAATCTTAAGATTGGAAGTCAATCACAGTTGATCCAGATTTTATCAGTTTTTATTAAGGAGGATGTGCAATCAATGATCCTCCCCTATTAACAGTGCAGGTCCTGCAGTAAGTCTAGTTAAGAGCAAGAAGCCTGAAAACTGAATTACTAAACAAATCAGCAAAGACGAAAAAGTTGTAAAAAATCCTTTAGTTGCAATTTCTGTTGCTTAAATTCACTCAATGGAAAGAATCTCCCAACATTAATGTAGATCTAAATAAATATTATATATATTATATACCCGAAACATTAGGTCGGACTTCATGAATCTTCAAGATCCCCATTGCATTATGGTGCTACAACCTTGTTATAGAGTGTAAATTGTGTGTTCAGCATGATGTCAAGTCTTGGTTTGGCTTTCCTCCCCACACAGTATATGAAACAGTGTGTGGAATATTTCAAAAATATTTTGGAGCACAGCTCCAAAGACCTGAGTATTGGGTGAAAAGTTTCATATCTTCTCCCACTCAGTTTAGAAAGTGAAACTCATGATTCATTATACACTGAAATATGCGGAATATTTCAAGCCCCCTCTTGCACTTTTGGTGATTATGACTTATTTATAATGAGAATCCAAAATTCAATCTCATTATGGCTTTTTCATTGAAAGCTAAGTGGAAGGAACAAGTGTGCTAGGTAAAGATGCACCAGCAGCAAGGATAATCACAACCCTGAGTACTATGCTTCATTTAAACATTTGTCATATATTGTGCCACAAAGCAAATTAATCTACAGAAGTAATCAGAGTGGAGAACCTGCATCAAGAACCACAAGAAATTCAGCAGAGATGGAATGGAAATGTAGAACGTCGCTACTCACCAAGGCCTGGTGGATTCTCCGGACACGGTGGCAGCGGTTTGGGAGAAGGTGTCTGATTGTTCTCAGGCTGCAAGCTCGGGACCAGCTGTTCAGCACCAGCCAGGTAGGTGGCTGATGTTGCATTTGGTCTTGAAAGGTTGTAGTAGTAATAATGATGTCCGCTGCCCGTTCCGCTCCCGTTATTTCTGGACCCATTTCTGCCGTTGTTGAAACGGCTGAAAAGGTCGAACCGCTGCGTGTAGACGTCGAAGTACAGGATCATCATGATGAGGAAGTGGAGCAGGCAGAGCAGCAGGACGCCTTTGCAGATGCGCTCCAGAGTCCGGCCCAACATCAGCCGGGTCATGGCAGACAGAAGTGGCCGTCCTGTGACGACCAGCCACGGCAACGCTGGCGTGGCGCGGCTATATGAGTGCCATCATTCTATTGTTTCTGCAGGTGATATCAGCTGCTGCTAAATCACTTATGAACTCATGTGGATTGTTGATACTCAGTTCTCTGTCTTCAGCATAAACTTTGAGTCTCTCATTTTCACTAACATATTGTGCAGAAGACGTTCTGACGGTAAAAGATTCTTCTCTGAAAATCCTCTTATCCTGACCTGTCGATGTGCCAAGTGGCAGCAGAAGCATTGAGGTTCTCCATTTTTAACACAGTTCAGGAAGTCAAATATATGTTTTTTATGTTGATGATTTCCAAATGATTGGTGAATGGATTGATGGCATAAATGTTCATCGGTGAAGAGTATCTGCCGGTATGTCCATTGGAAAGGTTTTTTCTCTCATGGCACCAAGAAGGCAGTCACAAACCTGAAGAGGGAAAGAAAGAAACGGTGAGGAAACCATGTCAAAAAAGTCCTCTAAAAGTTTTGTCTGTTTTTACTTTTAAATATTTCCGATCATACACATTTTAATATCAGACCAAAGCAACCTGAGGCAATACAAACTGTAGTTTTCAAATTAATTTTTTTTATTATTAAGAAAGGAAGTCAAAATTTTCCAATTTGAAAATATGTAATAAACCAGATTTTTAATTAACCAATTAATTTCATTAACCACACCCAGAGCTGATCTTTGTCTGACCTGTAGAATCAATAATCTGCTTCAAGTAAAAGATTTCTAAAAGCAACACATACTAATTTGAATACATTTAAGAAAAAATGAGAAGCAGTCACTGAAAAATGTCAGCCTGAAAACAAGCAATTTCTTAGAAATTAGAACAACAGTAAACCACAGAGAGAGTCATTATCCACAAATTAATAAAACATGAAACAGAGGTGAACCTTCCCAGGAGAAGACAGCGTGCTACAATTATTCTAACAGAATAAGATATTCATCCAGGAGGTCACAAAAGAACCCAAAACAATATCTAAAGCACTGCAGGCCTTGGATTCACATTAAAATGAGACTGAATAAAAATTACATCAATTGTGGAGTTCCCAGGAGAATACCACTGCTGACTAATAACAAAACATTTGCCAAAAACAAAACATCTAGATTATTTATCCCCAAGACTTAGAAAATATACTCGAGTCACTGGTGTCAGAAAATTGAGACTACAAGGAAGAGTTATTTCAGGCACAAAGCCAGCATTGCATTTGAGAACATCATACTGACTGTTTAACATGCTTGGGGAAAGTGTTATGCCCTCGGTCTGCTTTACCTCTTTAAGACCTCAACAAGTTGCTTTCATTGATGGAACTACAAATTCTTTTTGCTAGTAAAAAATCTTATGATAGAGAATGTCTGGTCAACACATAATGGCCTTAAGCTCAAGAGCAATTAGGTTACACAGGACAATGATACAGTGGCTGGAAGAAATCAAAATTAAGTTTTTCTCTGGAGTGGCACGTCAATGTCTGAACTTAAATCTGATTGATATACTGTGCCATGACCCTGAACAGCCTGTTCATGATGGCATACTGTCTGATATGTCTGAATTAAATTCATTCTGCAAAGAAAAGTGGGCCATACAGTCATATCCAGACTCCATCCATCGGCTATATCCACTTATTCTTGCAGGATCGCAGGAAAACTGGTGTCTATCTCCAGTGGACATTGAGTGAAAAGTGAGTCTCAGCCTGGACAAATCGCCAGTCCATTGCAGGGCACCGTAGAGAGACATAGGACACACAACCATGCAAACACATACATTTGAGGACAATTTAGAGAGTCCAATTGACCTTAATTGACATTAATTGGTTAATGTGTTTGGAATGTGAGAGCGAGCACAGGGAGAACATGCAAAAAGACCCCAAGTCAGGACTCAAACCCAGGGTCTTTTTTTTCTACTAGGCAGCAGCAGCACTACCAACTGCTTGTTGGCAGCTGTTACCACCTGAAGTGGCACAGAAAGTCATTAAGTTTGCTTTGCATAGCTTTTTGCCCCATTTTCTAATTTCTCAGCTCATCTTTAATATCGACATTTTATTTGATAATCTTAAAAATGTGCTAAAAAAGCAGAAAGAAACAATATGTAAAGGGCAAATCCTTTAAATACAAAGCACTGTAATTAAAAGGTCAATATTCATTTTCCATTTAAATAGCCATCCTCTTTTGCTTCCTTAAGCCAGTGCAGGTGAAATGTTATTAATTTTAGAGGTGTTTTCTGACTCAGTTCGGAGACCCCTTGTATTATTAGCAGCCTGAAATCGAACTGAACATAATCAATCTTACACTAGCACTTTCAGTATTCAGTGACCTTGTTCGTGTTGGTAATGCCTGGTTGAATCGCGATAAAGTAAATGTAGAATTTTTCTCCCAGCAGAAGAACGACTACACATGTGTATTTCAAGGAATAAAAAGGGGGAGGGGAAATACACAATCGATAACAAAAGCATTTACAGACGCAAACGAACCGAGAGCCTTGACTGGGGCAGTTCAGCCAAATTGACATGCCAAGTCAATTTTCCAGTCAAGTGGTTTAAAAAGCATTTATGATAAAATGAGACTGCAAGTGGGAATACACAAAGCAATGAACATATGAGGAAAGGAGAGAGGGAGGGCACTCTTAGTGCATTCCCTGGAGCGAATTACTGAAGGGTTATAGCTTTTCCAATAAATGAGAGGAAAAGACGAGGAAGATAAAAACCCAGAATGACATCAGATTTCCTGATGAAAACCACAAAAAACTTCTATAAGCTCACAATATTTTTATGTTAATAGCAGCACTGTGAAAAGGAATGAAATCTAAGAAATATGTCAGCTCTGCTTTTCTGCACAGCTGAACATTACAGACAACCTGTGGAAAAGTCTTGAATTCATGGAGAATATTAGGCCTCTGTAAGCTTTCTCTGCAGAGTTTTTGGTTTGCCTAAGAATTCTAATTAAATCAGTGTGATCTAAAATTAAATCTAAATACATTCTGTCATGGCAAAAGGCATAATCACTAATTGTATTAATTTCAATGTCAACACGTAACTTTTACATTAGACTTTAATGCATTAAATGATAGACTGTCAAGTATGTAAGAAACACTTTGAACCAATGCAAAAACCTACAGCAGCCAATATTTTTTTTCCTTTTCTACTTGAGAAAATTATCATTTATAAAACATGCAGTGCTACAAAAGTGTGCATATCACTTGAATCCCCTTGGCTTCAAGTGGGACAACATATATTTGATTATATTCAGCTATTCTAACAATTGTTTTACTAAAACCTTGTGTCAATGTTGTGATCCAATTCCAACAGAACACGAAAATATTTGTGCATTTGCAAATTACACAAATTTATGATTCCTGAAACTTTACATACATCACTGATGTATAAAATATTTCCTGGCCTAACACCGACCCCTGTAGGACTCTAAAACTGTTTTCTAAGAAGTATCCTCTGTATTCTTCCATTTATAGATATTACCTGTAGACAGTCCAATGACTGATCCCCAGGTCTGTATGTGAATAAAGCATGCATTATAGTGTGAATTAAAATAACATGATTTAACATAATCACACCACAATGCTTGTGCATGGTTTTTGAGCCATGATAGCTGTTTTAGTATCCTAACCAAAAAGGACGTTTCTTTGACAGGTAATCGGTATGAAAGAAAGTAATATTTTGACCTTTTTTTGTCTTTCAACAAGAAAGGTCCATAGGAAGAGAGTTTCCTCTACTGTGCAGGTATTGAATTGCAAAGCTCAGCAGGGAAACCAGAAAAATAAAAATAAAAATCCGCAGCCGGGGTTGAGAACCTGTTTTGCTCAGTTGCACAGGACGTCTCAAAGATCAGTGGAGAGAGAATACAGATCAACACTTTTCCTCTTATATGGGAACAAGGAGAAACCCCAAAGGCTCCAAATCCATTTTTCTCACAGCATCTTCGTTATCGAGCATAACACTGAAGTTTTCTCAATTCTACAAGTGAGTGTGAGTATTGTTTTGTTTGTTTTGGTTTACAAAGGTCATCTGACTCTTTGATATTGTTTTTAGATTGTCTCTACCACTCAGGTCTTCGGTAGCTTTCTCAATGGAAATATCAAGCAGACCAGAGCTGAGTGATCAGATTTACATTAACATGGTAAAGTAAAATGTAAACAAAACCAGAAATGAATCTTTAAAACTTGAAGTCTAGGAATGGTAGAGACAGATAGAGACTTTGCTCCAGTCACAGAGAGAAATAGACCCTTTATGTAAGCAGTTTATTCAAGGATGCCTTTAAATCCCTTTTTAACAACAGCAATAAATTTCATAACAGAAGCCCATTATATCATGACTGCCAAGGAGTCCACTGAGAAATACAACAATAATAACTGCCAGTTTCTGTCTACACTAGGTTTCAGTGCTGCCTCTAAAGACAGAACAGTACAGAGGTTCTGTCATCACTTTTATCTTCACCATCACCATCACATCATGTAAAATAAAAACAGCAATGTGATGCAAATTATAGCACATTTGATTGGGTAAAAAAGTAACTAGAAATAAAAAGCTAGAAAAAAAATCTGAACTAAACAATGTGACGTATTTTTCCCCATTTCATTTTATTTAGGATGTTACGAATTCAGTCATCTTTACAGAATGCTCCTTCCTGTCACAACCACCCTGACAAATCTTTCGCCCCCGTCTTCATGTAAACCTATTGTGTGATGAGTCTGAATTTTATGAGTGTGTTTATTTAAGCAGAAAGCACTACTCAATTTTCATGAGCCGCTGCTGGGACTATCTGTGGTACCTTGGAGAGCAAAGCTTGAAGAGATCGAGCAGATTTTGAGGAGCAATTGCTAGAGGTTGCGGGGAAGTACTTTCGGAAATATTGTTCTGGTCCAATACAGCAGGAGAATGTCTCACTAACGTTTTCTATTCTTTTTTTTTCAATAATGTGAGAAAAAAAAATAGATTTTCCAGATGTCAATTCTTTCAGCTAACTTGTGAACTCATAATAACAGTCGATATTCTATGCTATGATCACTGTGTGTACAGTGATCATAGCATGTTGTTGTATGGCAAACACTATGATGTACACTGTAGTAAAACAACTAATAGAAACATTACAAAACTACATGTCTCTTGGCATATATATACGTATATATGTCATACTTTGACAAAATCTGTCACAAAGTATGACATATACTGTATATGTCATACTTTGGCATATATATGTATGTATACATATATATGTCATACTTTGGCATGTCAGTCAAATGGTCCCTAGAGACATGTAAACATGGCCTAAAGACTTATTAATGATCAGTAGAACCAAATAAGCTAAGATGGATGCTATTTGATGTGTTTATGATCTACAATGTCATAAGATGTTTCAATGCAATTAAAAAAAAAACATTTGCATTTAGGAAATGCTCAGAGGAACTGACC